TTGAAGAAAATTATCTGACATATTTCCCAGAAAATTCACAAATGTCCCCAGTTCTAGTCTTTTTAGTTGCCTCTGTTAGCATTGTAGCCTAACCGCTAGCTACTGTAGCATGGCTGAAATTGCTCTAAGAGACGAACCATCAACATTTTGTCCATCGTACAACAACAACCCCCCATTACAGAACAGACAGAGAGACGATTCGCAGCCCTGAGAGCATTAAACCCGAGTTAGAGACGCTCAGAGGTGTAGCTGTTAGCAGCGCTTAGCTATCGATCAGCTGTTTATCCCTAAAAACCTCCATTACACAGCAACAAATAACTCCACCTGATCTGCATCAGCAGACTTTTCACACACATTCAAAAAAACATCACTACAAATCAATACGCCGAGTGTGTGGGAGGGTTAAAGTGATCAGCAGGGGTCTCGAACTCCCAGAGGGCTTTAATCCAGCACAGTGTGGTGAGCGTCCTGCTTAAACACACCCAGAAACCAGATTATCACCTGCTGAGTTGAATCAGGTGTGTTTGAACAGTGAAATCTCCCACCTGAGCTGAACGTCAGCCCCCCAGGACCCCAGCCTGGCCCAGATTACTGATGAACTGCTAAGTAATGTGATCTGTAAACTCATCCAAAGTGTTAGATCACATTTCAGGACCTTCTCAGTGAACACAGACGTGATGAAAATATTATTTGTAAATACTGTTGACATTAAATCGGGGGTCAAACACACTCAGGTTGAGGTTCAGAGAGAGAGAAAGTCTGTGCAGAGTTACAGGCCAGTTCTGAACCCCGAAGCAGAATAATATTGTTTTTAAACTTAAACATAATCATTTATCACAATAATGAAGTGTGATTTTCACAGTCGGTTATCACAACACATGTCTATGATCTGATTGGTCACCGCTCAGCTCATTTGCATGAAGTTCCTCCAGAATGACAGAGCAGAGGAAGTGCGTCAGTGGACTGATGTGTTGGTTATGTGTGTATGTTGTCGTCTCGCTCCTCACTACAGCTATAACTGTATATCCACTGTATAAGAATACAAAGAAAACAATTCAAAATTAAAAAATTGAATAAAAAGGCAAATCGTTCTGCATGATGTCATCATGTCACACAGACACTGCCTAAAATTTCAGCACCCCTGACATTAAAACGCCTTCCTGCGTCCCTGGAACATCTAGTCCATCTGAGGCTTACAGAGCAGAACTGAGCAAGAAGCAAAGGTTCTGTGTAGTTCTGACAGAGGAGAGCATTGTGGGTAGGAGTGAACTCCAGACCTTCCAGATGATCTGCAGTGAATGTAGTTTGGCTGGAGACAGGAAGCTGTGATGTGAGGATGAATATAGATACAGCAGCCTTACTAAGACTGAACAAGCCCAGAAATCTAGAAACTAATAAAGGACTAATAAAGGACTAATAAAGGATAATAAAGGACTAATAAAGGATTAATAATGAGTAATGTAGACTGTATCATTATTTTTCTAACACTTATGGTTCTTTGTAGAACTTTTACATTATTTTGAAGTTCTTTACCAATTCAACAGTCCTTTATAGAACCTGTCCCGGTTCTTGTTTAGATAGAGGGGTAGGGCGAAGTGTTCGGGCTACATGACCCTCCAGACTGAGTGTTATGAGTTAAAAAGAAAAACTTGTGCAATGGCTGCGCAAAAATTGCGATAACCATTGTTACCTTAGTTTATTGGCGTTTCAGTGGTTTATGGTCCCCTACTTCAAATTTCCCATTCCACCTTAAATGGAAAATGGAATGGAATTCGAACAAGAAGCTGGCGAATAGCTGACCTTAGCTTCATATGACCAAAGAATTAGGGGTGGGCAATAATAAATAATTGCCCCCCTTTTTAAAGGGAAGTTTTCAACCACAACCTCTGATAACTCAGTTCCAAGGGGCAAGGTGACCTTCAGAAACAAGGGGCAGGGGTCAGATTAAGAAATGGGACTGGCCTTCCTGTGGAGCCGACTTTCGCCTGGCTTCGGTGAACAATACGACATAATTGCACACAAAACTAACAAACACAGACGGCGCTCAGAAGTACATCACAGACGAGTGACAGACACATCGTGTGACAGTCTGTGATTGGTGAGTTAAACCGCGACTGACAGATCAGAGATCAGAGTATGTGAGCCTGAAAGCTCGCGAGGTTGAGTTTGCTCAGGGTGCACTGAGGACTAAAGAATGGTTTTAAAATGTATCTCTAATCTGATTTCTGTCTTTTATTCTGTACTGTAACTCTAAACAACCTGCTTTACTGTATTCTGTACTTCCACCCAGTCTGGATGTAGACGGTGTCTGATGTTGTTTTATTAAGTGTTTAATTGTGCTGTTTAATTTGCTCTGAGCAGATTCAGCATTCAGAATGATCTAATGCCTCTCACCAAAGTGCTGATGGTGGAATACACACTGCAGACTTCATTAAATGTGTAAGTTTTACATTTTAATACCCAGTACTGGTGATTTATTGATACTGTCCATATTTTCAAATTCACAATTCTTATTCAAGCCACAGAATCAAAGCGATAGTTAAACCAAAAGTCTGATTCCTCCAGTTTACCCCAAATGTAGCTGATCAGCCAAACAAAGTCCATGTAATGTTTTACATACACATAATGTTATATGCAGTGTCTGAGTGTGGAGCTGTTCAGTGATCTCTAACAGTCTTGATTGACTCGCACTATTTTCCCTCCTCAGCCAGCCTACAAACCAGCGAATGGAGTTCAGTGGGGAGGTGGTGGGGGAGTCAGCGATGAAGAGCACCTCAGACATCGGCAACCCTGTCGAATTTACCTTTACAGTGAGTTTTCCCGGAAATAGATTGATACATAATACAGTATCGGTACTGACCATCCTGACACACTGAATCACAATCACACTGAATCAGAATGAATTACAATAACACTGAATCAGACTGAATCACAATCACACTGAATCAGACTGAATCACAATCACACTGAATCAGACTGAATCACAATCTCACTGAATCAGAATGAATCACAATAACACTGAATCAGACTGAATCACAATGACACTGAATCAGACTGAATCACAATGACACTGAATCAGACTGAATCACAATCACACTGAATCAGACTGAATCACAATGACACTGAATCACAATAATACTGAATCAGAATGAATCACAATAACACTGAATCAGACTGAATAAGATCAAATAACATTGACTATGTATCAGATTGACACACTTAATCGGACTGTTGTGTGTGTGTGTGTGTGTGTGTGTGTGTGCAGGTGACTATGGAAGGGAAGCCACTGGGCTCGCTGGGTTTCCTTCAGGTCCACTTCGATTGGCCCTCTCAGGTGGAGAATGAGAAGTGGCTGCTGTATCTGGTGGAGATCCAAATGTCAGGAACTTCAGAGTCTGTCTGCAGTCCGAAAGGAGACATCATAAACCCCCGACACTACACAGTGAGACATCGCTTAGATCCTTATTTCTCCTTTACTGAAGGCTGAAACACTCGCCACCAAACAGGCAGTGGATCAGTCGGAATTTCCTTCTTAAACTCAAAATTTACTACACCCATAATTAATCCACTAAAATCCCCAACTACACCCACAATTCCCTGCTACACTCAAAATTCCCCACTACACTCAAAATTCCTAATACACCCAAATTTCCCAGTTTACCCAAAATTCCCACTACACCCAAAATTAATCGTGCAAAATCCCCCACTACACTCAAAATTCATCCACTACACTCAAAATTCATCCACTACACTCAAAATTCCCTCTACAACCAAAACCCCATCACACCCAGCTTATTGACATATGAGTCTTAAAGGCACAACATTGACACCACCCTGTTTGAGGGATAAAGAGGCGGGAAACGATCATGTAAAATAAACTGTGTTTTTGGTTCATGAAACCACAGAAACAGTAGATGGTGAAGCTGAAACTCAGGGACGCTGATCTGGGCTCTGTGCTGTGTTCGCTGTGCTGCTTGCAGGTTTCTGAGCGTAACTCCGTCCGCAGGAGGAGAGATGAAAGCTCTGTTGTTGTCCATCCAGAACCTCAGGCCTCTCTGAACCTGCAGAGCGCTCGCAGGAGGAACGTCCAGCTGGTCAGTGCATCACTCATCCTCCAGATTTCTCTTTATTTAGTTGCTAGGCGACGGAGCAAGGCTGGAGATTTCTCCAGCAGGTTTTGTGCTCTGATGGAGCAGCAACCTTGACAGAGAGTGAATAAAATGAAGTGAAATGAAATAAATAAGCGGGTCTGTCTCTCCTGCAGAGCTGCGGGTCAGGAGGAGCGAAGTGCCAGACGTTCAGCTGCCCGCTGAACAACATGACTACCTCCGCCAAGCTCAGAGTCCGAGCACGACTGTGGAACAGCACCATGCTGGAGGTCACACATGCTCACTGCACAGTGTTTACAGTTCTGAAAGTGTTTTAATAATAATAATAATAATAATAATAATAATAATCATCATCATCATCATCATCATCAGTTTTATTTATATAGCACTTTTCATGCTGGTGGCAGCTCAAATTGCTTTCAATGTTCAGTGATTACAGTGTTCAGTGTTTCTTTGCAGTGTTCCGTGTTCACTGTGTTTACAGTATACACAGGGTCTAGTGTTTACAGTGTTTACAGTGATTATAGTCTTCACAGTGTTTGTTTACAGTGAATAGAGTCTTCACAGTGTTTGTTTACAGTGAATACAGTCTTGACAGTGTTTGTTTACAGTGTTTACAGTGTGGGTCTGTGCTGTATTGATTCAGTGTTAATATACCTGGGAGACTCATTTCATTTTTGAAAGCTCATATTTGTGTATGTGTAGCAGCTCCTGGCCCTGGATTATAACTCACTAATGCTGTGTTTATATTATGGCAGCAGACAGTTGACAGCAAACCAGATATTCCACTAGTTTTAATGGAGCGGCCACTTTTGCCGTCGTCCGTGTTGGTGGAACAAGCAGGATGTTGATTTTGGGAGCTGTGGACGCTGAAGGTGTCAGTCCAGGCAGCCAGTTTTACACAACGGCACATGTTCAGAGTTCAGGGCGTCCACCTGCTTTAATCTGACTCAATAAACATAAACACTGCTAAACTCTCCGCTGATGATCATCTGATTTCAGCAGTGATGCTGTCACCATGGTGACGTTTCCATGGCTGCATGCCACAATCAGTGGGGTGCCACTATGAGGCACTAAACAGCGTCCAGAGAACAGCATGAAAACACAGCCGGACTCACTCGCTCACATTTAGCAGACTGAAGATCCTCCACCAGGGGGAGCTCTTAGCACTCAGCAATCACTGAATCAGAGGAATGAGGAAACGGAATGAGGAATGTTCTTGTGTCTGATTGGCTGAGTGTTCTAGTATCTAATTGAATGTTCTAGTATCTGATTGGCTGAGTGTTCTAGTATCTAATTGAATGTTCTGGTATCTGATTGGCTGAGTGTTCTAGTATCTAATTGAATGTTCTAGTATCTGATTGGCTGAGTGTTCTAGTATCTAATTGAATGTTCTAGTATCTGATTGGCTGAGTGTTCTAGTATCTAATTGAATGTTCTAGTATCTGATTGGCTGAGTGTTCTAGTATCTAATTGAATGTTCTAGTATCTGATTGGCTGAGTGTTCTAGTATTTGAATTTAGAACATTTGAAATCATTATAAATGACTGGTTGTACACACATATAAACATACTCATGAACTTAAATACAGCATTAGCTTTGCTGTTTGATGTTATTGTTTTAGTAGCTGCACAGAAATACAACGATTTTCAGTTTCAGTATGGCTGTTAATTCTGATTTGGTTTGTGTTAAAATGTGTTAAAATGTGTTAAAATGTTCTTGAATCTTCAGATTCAGTACTCAATACATTCAATATTCAATATAAACTCAAGACTCGTATTAACTACCACAGTTTGGCTCAGATAAATAAATAATTAACTAAAGTAAATACATTTATTCAGTGCTGTGATTGTTATGTCATTAAGATGGTGATATGAGTGGAGAGTGATTGAGGTTCTGCGTGTTCTCCACAGGATTACAAAGATTCAGAAACGCTGATCACAGGTCAGGCCACACTGCAGCTGATCACTGATAAACCCGCCATCAGGATGGACAACACATTCGTGACGGTCAGAACTCTAGTCCTGTTCTGTGTCTCTACTGTGTCTCTGTATGTTCCTCATCACTCAGAACCGAGAAGAGCCTTTCAGAGACACATTCAGTGGCTGAAATCACAGTTTATTAAAACTCAGAATGTTCTGGACTCTTAATAAAGATGTTTTTGAGGGTTCTTTATAGACAGTGGTTCTATATAGAACCATAAACACTCAAAAAAACATTTGCATGATTAAATGGTTCTTTGCATGGTGAAAGGGTTCTTCAGATTGATGGAGAATATGCTGTATATAGTACCAAAAAGGTTATTATGTCAAGCTTGTAACAACAGAAGAACCCTTTTTGATGCTAAATAGAACCCCTTTCAAAAAGGTTCCATATAGAGCCATATACAATACATTCTCCATCAATCTGAAGAACAATTTCACCATGCAAAGAACACTTTAATCATGCAACTGGTTCTTTGAGTGTTCATGGTTCTATATAGAACCACTGTTTTTTTTTAAAAGATTAGATCTTCAGAGAACTTGTAATAATTTCTGTAACATGAAAAATACTCGTCATCATTTAAACTCATTTAAACTCTAAGTTTGGTAGTAAAACTCTTATTTCATTCAGTTCTGTTTGGAAACAAAAGTGTTATTATCTTAAAAATGTCCAACAAAAATTGTCCAATCAGGATTGTTCTCTCTGTAGAATCTATGTAGATACAGCTGAGCTGCTCTCGCATTGGTCAGGACTTCAGGAGCTGAACTGAAGACCTTATACATTACATTAACTACCAACATCATTAGGAAGCGAATCAACTATCACATTTTGGGAACAATTTAGAGAGTAAAATGTCTTCTGAAGGTTCTAGATAACTGACCGTGAATAAAATTAGGCTTTGGTCAGTTGTTAGAAATGAGAGGGGAGTTTTCTCTGTTCTTTTGACAGTTTTGACATTAATGAAACCTCTAATATTCACAGGAATGTAAACAATATTGATCTAAAGGTGCTAATAGATCTAAATTAGTTTAAAAATCATTAGTGAATAATAATAATAATAATAATAATAAAGTATTATTTTTAGCAAAAATAAGATTCTAATGTTTTCAAACATCAAAACCTAAAATCTTAATCTACTACAGTTTTGAATGGAAACGTATTGAATCAAATGGTGAAATGTGAGATGATTCACTGAATCGTTTCCTAAAGAATCATAATCTAACTGAACTGTGTTAGTAAACCAATCAGCTGTTCTGCTGATAAGTGTGTACACTCTTAAAGAGGGCTATTCATTGGTTCTTTAGTAAAGAAAATAAAAAAAGAAAATTCTATATAGAACCATGAACACCCAGAGAACCCTTTGCATTAATAAATGGTTCTTTGCATCATGAAAGGGTTCTTCACACTGCTGGAGAATGTGATGTAAATGGCTCTATATAGCACCTTTTTGAAAGGGGTTCTACATAGCACCAAAAAGGGCCACAAGCCAACCCTTTTTTGGTACTATGTAGAACCCTTTTTGCTAAGAGCGCAGTTTTGTTGCTGAACGTTTCTTCTTCTTCTTCTTTGGTCAGTTCGCTGTGATCGTGACCCCTGCAGGCCAAACGGAGGCGCTGAATGAAGTTCCTCTGTGGATCATCATCGTGTCAGCGCTGGCCGGAGTCATCCTGCTGGGACTCATCATCCTCCTCCTGTGGAAGGTGAGCATCAGCAAAAAAACACAATATAACTCATATCTTATATCAATATAACTATAATATAATATATACATCTCACTTATTCAAAACATATAATCATATTCACCCAGCTCCCCTCGCCGCCCCACAAACCAGTCAGCTGAGTCGTGTTCGGCGTGTGAAGTTAGCTTGAGTTTTAGCCCTGGAGCTGTGAGGCTAATGTAGCTAACCAGTAATGGACGTTTATACCCAACCAGTTAGCAAAGTGCTAACTGCAACCTAAATCATCACACACTCTCCTCAAACGCGTTCTGCAAGTGCAGCACCTTTTAAGGTGGAGCAGAAATTTTAAATAGAAGCTTTACCAGTTAGCTGGAGCTGGAGTTAGCCTACTATGCCATAACAGAATAAGTAAATGGTGGATAAATAACGGCTCTGATGGTGAAACGGGACAGGAAAGAAAAACAGCATGAAATAAATAAATGACAAATACACTGAACAAAGACAAACAGCAGTGCTGAAATCAGGTTCTTCGAAAAAAAAACAAACAAACCCAAACCGACTGTTTTTACCCAGCCACAAAAAAAGAAAACACGCTGCAAAAAATAGGATCTTTTCAAGTGAAATGATCTTAATTCCAGTCAGTGTATCTAATATTTCCCATTTTGAGATGGTTGTGCGCTGATTATTAGATTATCTAGTTTATTTTCAGACATTTTTACATTTTATTTAGTAAAATTATCTCATTATAGTGACAGATTATTTTGCTGGTTTTAAGCCCATTTAAAACAAACAAAATTCTATGCCAGTATAGTGAGATACTTTTACTTAATACGGTTACTTAAAAATGTCTGGAAATAAGCTAAATAAACTTCAGACAAGCTTAGAAATATTATATATATCGACCAGTTTTAAGATCATTTCTCTTGATAAGATACTATTTTTTGCAGTGCAAAAGTCTGCTCACCAGACTAACCACAAAACAGATGTACTGACCCCCCCAACACAAACAGCGACCCCCCCCTACAGCTGGTGGGTCTATACAGAAAAGCTGGACTAAGATATATTCAGCAGTGGCTACAGTAAAGGAGCAAACTGACCAGTCAGAATCACAGTTAGACTGGCTGAGTCGTCTTCCTGCGTATCTCAGTTACTTTTACTACGTCCACCAAGCGCTCAGTCCAGACTGCCTGGCAGCTCATCAGCGTAGAGGAAACTGATAAGGAACTGATAAACTATGGATGTTGGACTATTTTAAATTAAAACCACATTAATATTCTGGGAACCATGTTTACATTAATCAAACCAGAGTTCTTCTTTTTGCCTGAGAGAAGTAGGAACACTACATTTACGGCATTTGGCAGACGCTCTTAGGTAGGACTCTTATTGGTATAGTGTAGGGTGCTTACCCAGGTGGGGGATTGAACCCCAGTCTACAGCGTGCAAGGCAGAGGTGTTACACAGTGCACTATACCAACACTAGGGACATTGGGAACGTTAGGAACGTTAGCTGATCTAAAGCAGCTCAGTACAAACACAGAATTAAGATTAATAAACATGTTTAAACTCAGTCTGAACACCATCTCTGCTATGTTGGTCTGGTAGCTGAAACCAGACGCTCCCCTCTGATTGGTTCTGGTCTGTAAGTGATTTTGGTTCAGCGCTGATGTGGGCCTCAGTGAGGTGCACAGGGGGCGCCAGTGAGCACCGCTTTGATCCCAGAAGTGTGTTCTCCGTGTCTGATTGGTTATGTCTGAATCCTCAGTGCGGGTTTTTCCGGAGGGCGAGTACGCGGGAGCTGTACGAGGCGAAGGCTCAGAAAGCGGAGATGAAGGTTCAGCCGTCTGAAACCGACCGACTAACGGAGGACGAATGAGGACCGAGGTTCCACACGAGTGTTAACGAACTCTCGGTAAACCGAGTGAAGTAACACGGATCAAAACTCGCTAACCTGCTTCTCTCTCCAGCTCTGCCTCTCCCTGATTCCGCACCGGACACTCTGGAATGATCTCTGAGCATCGGAAGTTTGGGGACAGCTCACTTTTAAAGTTTATTTAGAGGAAAACAGTCTCACATATTCATAGCAAATTTGTGCCAATATTAGTGACAGTAGAAGTAAAGCCAAAGGCCACGCCCACTTTCTTCCCTTGTTGTGATGTCACAGATCAGCACTCAAACCGTTCAGGTGTTTAACTCCTTAAAAATCCAGTCTTATTACAGACTGAGGCTTATTATTCAGTAACTACAGGGACTTCAGTGCAAACAGGCTGAGCTATTCTTAGATTATAGACGTGTGTAATAAAACTTTGGAGCCATTTAAGGGGTTAAAACACATTTGGACCAAAAGTGTTTTAATATGAGCTTCTAACAGCTTCAAAAAGAAAACTGTCACAACTCTACACGATCCTGATGAAGATAAAAATACACAAAGTTCTAGGCTGCGTTCTGTGCTAACAATATAACGCTAACATAGAAGCTATGGCTGAAGCGCAATATACCCAAAGCATTAGCACGTAGCTACTTTGGAGAACATTATGCTAACTAAACAGCTGGCTGAAGTGAAATATACTTAAAGGATTGCTCTCATATCATATATCAGCAGCTTAATACTAACAAGACTGACAAGACAACGACTGTAATGTATGATAAACTGCCTTTTAGTCTTATTAACTTCAGCTCAATTCAGTTTTTAACTGCGATGCAGAGAGAAAAATAACTATAGTTGAAGCTAAATATACCGAAGTGTTAGCATGTAGCTGCGTTTGCTCACGAACAAACCAACTAGGTAAAGAAAAATAAACCCAAAGGATTCACATGTAGCTGTTTTGTGGTAACAACACAATGCAAATAACACAGCTAATTGAAGCAAAATATGCCCAAAGCATGTAGCTGCATTATGGTAACAGCCATAGACACGAACAGCCACAGTCACGAACAGCCATAGTCACGAAACAGCCGTAGTCACAACAGCCATAGTCGCAAACAGCTGTAGACACGAACAGCCGTAGTCACGAACAGCCGTAGTCACGAACAGCCGTAGTCACGAACAGCCATAGTCACGAACAGCCAGTCACGAACAGCCATAGACACGAACAGCCATAGACAGCCATAAACAGCCATAAACTATACCCAAAGATTTAGCAGATACATTTAGCAGCTGTTAAATGCTAACAACATTATGCTAAATAAGCAGCTGTAGTTGAAGCGAAATATACGCAAAGATTTAGCTCAGAGCTGCTTTATGCTAACAGAACCTTTGCAGAGCAGATAATTTGTGCACATTTTCCTTCAACACAGCACGTTTTTCCTATTTATTTGACAGTGAAACTTTTCTTGAAAAGCTGTTAAAGAGCCGAGGTGAGCTGTACCCAAACTTCTGATGCTGATCTTTTCCTCCAAGAACCGCAGCAGAACCTGCCTCCTCGGTTCTTCACGCTTCCTCTTTCAGTCTCTGTTATCACAGCTTCACTCGCAAACTGAAGAAATGATCTGTAGGTTCTATCTGCACATGCTCTGAAGAATTGTTCTAGGTTCTAGATTCTGGACTAACACATGTACCTTTCCCTACAGTTCAGTGCAGCGTTCTTCTTCCTCTAAAACCTCCTCTGTGGTTCTGGAGTTCAGTTTCTGTCCGACTTTCCCTCTGAAATCAGTAACACTTTATAACACTTTATAACACACAGCAGCATTAATTATACAGCTAGCGATAATTAGTGCATTAGTAAAATTAGTATACTATACAGGTGTTTATGAACAGCTCACGCCATGAGACGCTTTATGAAGTAAATGATGGTGACATAAGAGCCCTTACACTACATTTATTTAGTTAATAACATTGTTATAAAGCATGATTAACTGAGCTTATAATGCAGAGTCCTGCTTACAGACAGCATTTCACTGCTAGAAATGTTTATGATAAAACAGCATCATCTTTGAAACTGCATAAAACATTTTAAGTGTTATGAATTCTGACATAAGCTGTTCATAAATACTCAACTATTAAATTTTAAATACTGTTAGATTTTAAATTTGAATCACTTTCCACAGATTTATGTTCTTATGAACAAGCACAGATATTCACTCTTCGTTAGTGTTCTGCTGCTCTGCTGCTCCGCTGTTCTACTGTTCTACTGTTCTGCTGTTCTAATGTTCTGTTGCTCTGCTGTTCTACTGTTCTGCTGCTCTGCTGTTCTACTGTTGTACTGTTCTGATTTGTTCTCCCTGTTCTCTGTTTGTGTGTGTTCTAGTGTGGGTTCTTCAGACGGGCTGTTTACTTCAGGAGAATGTCGAAATATCACGGCGTGCGGGTTTGTAAAGAGGAGCGTTACAGCCTCAGTCAGGGCTTCCTCATCCAGCAACACAACAAGAAGCACTGGATCACCAACTGGACTGAAAATCAACAAAACTACTGACCACTCGGCACCGGATCAGCTCAGTCCAACGTCAGCTGCAGCTGCTGATGGACTATTCGGGAATCATTTGCGCTTGATAAATTAGCACTTATTAATAAATAGTATCAGATGTCGCTGTGACAGGTTTACTGCCCGTTATGATCGGTGTGTGTATGTTTATAAACTGTAAGGTGACTCCAGCAGGGGGCAGCACTGATACAGCACCACCTCCTCCGCCTTACTCAAGTGAGATATTGATGATTTGTGATATTGATGATTTTGCTGTACCGTCGTTTTTTAGCGAAGTTTAATAGTTTATTTGCGCTGATGTGTTTCTCTGTAAGGCGGTGCTGAACACGGACTGATCGCTTCATTTTTCAGGTTGTTTATAGATATGAATGTTATTATTTTTTGTGTGTAGTAGATTAAAGGCCTCGTCTGTTTACTGAAGCTTTGACCTCCGAAATCGGCCAAATCCCAGAGTTTAATTCACTGCTCAGTGGTCATCTGTGTCCAGCTGGTCTTCTGTTCGCGCTGTAGATGTTCAGCTCGGGGATTTGGCTTTTTTTGGCCGCGAAACATCACTGCTGTTCTGTGATTTTGTGAATGAGGGAGACATTTAAATATTTAATTTAATCTATGATGTCAAACAGCAGCTGCCTGAGCGCAGCAGCACTGCCAGATCTCAGATTTAATCATTTGTAGTGTAAAAATCACAGATTTCATTATTACAGATTTTATTAATGATGTACACAGTTCAGAACTGCAGAATCAGCAAAAGAGATCCGTGTTTTATAGCGATTTATTTTTATATTTCAGAGATTTTGTAAATGTAAAGACTGAAGTTTACACATTTAAAGTTTTATCTTCTTTTTTATGGATTTATTGTTCATCAATTCTGATCTGAATATCTGCCCTTGATGTCCTTTTGTGAACAGTGTGTTAAAATAAACCCAATAATTTATCAATATTTATCTAAATCAGTCTGTTTATTTATTCAGTGATGGAGGAGATTTTGATTAGAGATTATTTCACACAGCAGGATTTCTCACAAAGTCAAACCCACCTGGACCCCCAAATTTAACCCCTTTAACTGTTTATACAGGATTTACTGAATAAATCATAATTACTGTATAATCAAAGTACATACTGAATTATTTACAGTAGATACTGAATTACCAAATAATTCACAGCAGAATTTTACTGAATCATTAATTAATTATTGATTAATTTGGTTTAAGTCCAAAGCCTGACCAATGAGAAGAGAGTTAGAGAGACTCTGTTGAACAGCTGTAATTTTGTATATATAATCTCTCCTATCATACAGTTACAACCCCATTTCCAGAAAAGTTGGGACGCTGTGCAGAATGTATATAAAGATAGAATGCAATGATATGCAAATCATATAAACCATATTTTTAAAGGAAATGTTATTGTTTTTTGAAAAATATATGCCCATTTTGAATTTGATAGAACACATTCCAAAAAAGTTTGGACGGGGGCCTGTTTACCACGGTGTTTCATCACCTTTTCTTTAACACTCTGTAAGCGTTTGGGAACTGAGGAGACTCTGCTGTAGTTTAGAAAGCGAAATGTTTTCTGTTCTTGTTTGATACAGGATTTCAGCTGCTCATCAGTTCAGGGTCTCCTTCATCCTATTTATTTCATAATACACCAAATGTTATCAGTGGTGACAGATCTGGACTGCAGGCAGGTCAGTTTAGCACCCGGACTCTGAGTGTGGTTTGACATTGTCTTGCTGAAATAGTCAAGGCCTTCCCTGAAAAAGACGTCGTCTGGACGGCAGCATATGTTTCCAAAACACACACATATATATATATATATCGTTCAGCATTAATGGTGCCTTCACAGATGTGCACATCACCCATGCCATGTGCACTAATGCCCCCCTATACCATCAGGAATACTGGCTTTTGAACTGTGCACTGATAACAAGCTGAGTGGTCTTCAGCCCAGAGGACACAGTGTCCATGATTTCCAGAAAGAATTTCAAATGTTGATCAATAGAACCACAGGACACTTTTCCACTTCCCCTCAGTCCATTTTAAATGAGCTCAGGCCCAGAGAAGGTGGCAGCGTTTCTGGATCCTGCTTATATTTGGTTTCTTCTTTGCGTTTTAGAGTTTTAACTGTCATTTGTGGATGCAGTGATGAACTGTGTTCATAGACAGTGGTTTTCAGAAGTGTTTCTGAGCCCATGCAGTGATTTCCACTACAGAATCATGTCTGTTTTTAATGCAGTGCTGTCTGAGGGCCCAAAGATCACAGCCAGTTTATACTGGTTTTTGGCCTCGTCCCTCACATACAGAGATTTCTCCAGATTCTCTGAATCTTTTAATGATATTTTGTACCGTAGATGATGAAAAACAGAAGTTCTTTGCTATTTTATGTTGAGAAACGTTCTTCTTGAATTGTTGCACTATTTGATGGTGCAGTCTTTCACAGAGTGGTGAACCCTCCTCATCTTTACTTCTGAAAGACTCCGCCTCTCTGAGATGCTCTTTTATACCCAATCATGTTACTGACCTGTTGCCAATTAACCACCAGGTGTTTTTTTTTAGCATTACACAACTTTACCAGCCTTTTGTTGCCCCTGTCCCAACTATTTTGGAATATGTTTCTGGCATCAAATTCAATATGGGAAAATATTTTTCAGAAAACAATAAAATTTCTCGGTTTCAAAGTTTAATATGTTGTTTTTGTACTATTTTCAATGAAATATAGGATTTAAACAATTTGCACATCATTGCATTTTGTTTTTATTTACATTTTGCACAGCGTCCCAACTTTTTTGGAAAGTGGGTTGTACACACAGTTCCAGATCCTTCACGTCTCTGAGCAGAATCAGAGTGTTTGGCATCCTCTGTCTGCTGCTGTGAGAACTGCAGTGCAGATCAGCGCCCTCTGCTGACAGTATGTGGGAATAATCTGCACTTCCTCTATGCATGAGCTCGAGAGAGAGAGGGAGAGAGAGAAAGAGAGCTGTGACGGTGCTGCAGGCTCAGAGAGCTGCTTGGTCTGTCCAGTTCGGATGGGCAGCAGCAGCTGGACGAAACTCTTCTTCCACGTCCTCTTCCTCATCATCATCATCATCATCATCTTCTTCTTCCTCCTCTCGGTCTGCAGCGCTGAGATGGACTGAGCGGAGGATGCAGCATCTCTGTGAAATTATCCTCATCTTCCACATCAGCATCATCATCTCTGAAGGTGAGTGAAGCTCTGCTAGTCTGAGTTTAACATCCTCTCTGTTTCCTTTATTAACGTTCCTGATGGGTTTATTAATGTTCATGATGAGTTTATTTATATTCCTGGTAAGTTTATTAATGCTTTGAGGTTTTATTACTGTTTCTGAGGGTTTGTTAATATTTCTGATAATATTTCTGATGAGTTTATTAATATTTCTGATGAGTTTATTAATATTCCTGGTGAGTTTATTAATGTTTCTGATGATTTATTAATATTCCTGGTGAGTTTATTAATGTTTCTGATGATTTATTAATATTCCCGGTGAGTGTATTAGTGTTCCGACTGGGTTTATTAATGTTCCTCTGGTTCTGGACTGTGGAACCCGCTGTGCAGATGACGTGAAGCTCCAGTCTCTTCTGAAAGAGTTTAATTCCTCTGAGCGTTATACTCTGATACTCTCCTCCATTAGCATCACATTTCATCACGTTTCATCACATTCTTCAGGCAAACTCTCAGTGACAGTCCTGCTGGTCCAACACTATGAAGAACCCTGACTCAGTCTGCACTGTTAATGTGGAGTTCATTTACAGTTAATGTGGAGGTGACGTGGAGTTTTATGTGGAGGTGATGTGGAGTTAATTTGGTATTAATATAGAGTTAATGTAGAGTTCAAGTTGAGGTAACATGTAGATAATGTAGAGTTGTGTGTGGGTAATGTGGAGTTAATTTGGAATTAATATGAAGGTAATGTAGAGTGTATGAACAGTTAATGTGGAGTTAATGGAGTGTTAATGTGGAACTGATGTGGAGGTAAAGTAGAGTTAATGTGGAGTTAATATGGAGATATTGTGGAGGTAATGGTGAGGTAATGTAGAGTTCATTTGGAGTTAACGTAGAGTTAGTTTGGAGGTAATAGTTAATGTAGAAAGTAAGTAAGTAGCGTTAATGTAGAATTAGGTAGAGTTAATGTGGAGTTAATGTAGAGTTAATATGGAGTTAATGTAGAGGTAACAGATTTAATGTGGTGCTAATGTAGAGTTAATTTTAAGTTAATGTAAAGTTCATGTGATGTTAATATTGAGTTAATATGGATGTAATATGAAGTTATTGTAGAGTTAGAAACTAAATTACTGTAAGCTAAATGGGTGGGGCTAAACTGCTGTAGACTGAATGGGTGGGGCTAAACTGCTGTAGACTGAATGGGTGGAGCTAAACTGCTGTAGCTGAATGGTGGGGCTAAACTGCTGTAGACTGAATGGGTGGGGCTAAACTGCTGTAGACTGAATGGGTGGAGCTAAACTGCTGTAGCTGAATGGGTGGGGCTAAACTGCTGTAGCTGAATGGGTGGAGCTAAACTGCTGTAGCTGAATGGGTGGGGCTAAACTGCTGTAGCTGAATGGGTGGGGCTAAACTGCTGTAGGCTGAATGGGTGGGGCTAAACTGCTGTAGCTGAATGGGTGGAGCTAAACTGCTGTAGCTGAATGGGTGGAGCTAAACTGCTGTAGCTGAATGGTGGGGCTAAACTACTGTAGGCTGAATGGGTGGGGCTAAACTGCTGTAGCTGAATGGGTGGAGCTAAACTGCTGTAGACTGAATAGGTGGGGCTAAACTGCTGTAGGCTACAGGTATCAACTTTAGAAAGTGTTAGCATAATAATAATAATAATAATAATAATGATAATAATAATAATACAGAAAGCAGTGTGATGTAATGTTGTGGGTAATTTTATCATCTGCCTAAAGAAATATAAGGTGACATTATTCAGCTGTGTTGTTGTGTCTCAGCTCTGTGCCGTCAGATCTCCAGCCCTGAGGTCTGTTTAGGTTTAAGCTCCGCCTGCTTGTCACTCTCTACACCTGTGTCTTGTTAGTTACTCCTCCTGTTCCAGCTGTTTGGTCTCCTGTAAGAGCTCCTCATGCGTTCCTGGTCTGGATCTCAGTCCTGCGTCTCTTCATGTGTTTGAGCTCTGTTTGTTGATGTCAGTCATGCTTGTTTTCTTCGTGCTCAGAGTTTGTTTTCCTGCTGTTTTTTGTTTCTGTAAAATAAAATTGTAAACTCTATTTGTGTCTCTTGATGATCAAACCAAATGTGTTCATTTTCATTCCTTACAGAGTGAAATCTGTGCATAGAATACAGGTTAACACTTTACTGCCAGGCTCTGTTCACAAAGCTACATGGCACCTACATAAGCTTGTCACGACAACTGACATAACCCTACATACATGTTTATTATTAAATTGAGTATGTAAATCGTAGCTTCATCTGAACACGATGGTCTATTCAAACGTACAGTGAGAGTCACCAAAGAACTCTAGATTTCTAACATCACACAGTGTCTGTCTGGCTTTAGAGGACATTCAGCTACAGCTCAACCAGCCAATCAAACGACTCCAACAAGACGGAAAACTGGAAACGTGAGCTCCTCGGATGCATCAACCTTGGATGTGATTCCTGCTGTCACTGTGCTGCTGCTGAAAGAGACAGATGAGGATCAAAACTATGAAACCTACTTTACTTACAGCTGTACAGAAGAGCTTTTCTGACAGGGAACTAAACCTCCACTGCAGCGCTGCTCGATCAGAGATCACTGATGTAGCAGAGCGAGACAACGACCTTCATTAACATCAGATAGAGTTAATGATTCAACCGTTAAGGTTCATTACACTCATTTACACTAACAGGTACTTCATTCTGAGTAGGTACTCAGTGTGGTAATGTTTTCCATTTAAGGGCTTGTTTAATAAGTGTGCTTCTGTGTAAGATGTTGATCAGACATCTTGACTATAGAGTTTACCATTATTTTACTCAATGTACAATGTTTGGCATTGTACATAAAGACTGTAGGATTGTGTGCAGCTGCTCAGCCTTGAAAACCCATTTCATGAAGCTCCTGATGTGCAGTTCTTGTTGCTTCCAGAGACTCTGTAGTGAGTGATGCAATAAAGGATGGACATTTTTATGCCCTCTGTGAGTTTGCACGTTTTCCCGCTTCCTGACTGAGCTGTAATGACTTCCATTTCACAGTAACAGCACTTACAGTTGTCTGGGGCAGATCTAGCAGGACAGAAACTTCGCAGACTGAGTTGTGGTAAAGGCAGCATCCTATAACTGTGCCATGTTTAAAGTCACTGAGCTCATCAGTTTGACCCTCTACTGCCAGTGTTTGTCTATGGAGACTGCATGACTATGTACTCTTGTTAGCAGCAGGTGTGGCTGAATCACCTGAACTCATTAGGAAAAATGTGTTTTTGGAGAATGAAGCAAGCGTCGATACTGAGCTTCAAAATAAATTGTGTTGTTTTTTTGGTCCAGAGCTTCAGTATCCAGAGAAACGTCACCACCACACGGTACAAACATGCAAAAATGTGTGACATTTCTAATAATCAAAGATCAAAAATGAGGATTATTAGAAAGCTGAACGATGTTACTTTACATTTGTTCATTTGGTCTGTTTTACGCAAAGCAGCTTACAAGTAAATTATTCATTTATTTATTTATTTAATATAATCTGCCTGTATGTTTAAATCAAAGTTAATCTGTATTTTAATGCTACACTGACTCATCCATAGAGAAATGCGTATCAGTATGTGTGGTGTGGTTCAGTGGGGGGGTTTGGGGGGGGATCAGAGAAAGTGCAGTGTGTTTAGTATTCTGTTTGTTGTGGTCAGTCTCAGCCAGCAGATCAAAGTGTGTTTTTTTGGGAGGATTTTTGGGGTTTTTGGGTTTTTTTTGACGGAGTGATGCAAGCGGGAGGTGAGCGGAATGATGATGTAATAAAAATGGAATGAAATAAAACCCGACTCTGCAGCCTCTGACCTACTTTTTCATCGCGCAGGAGATCCATAATGCATCTGGCTTCATCTCATCCAGCCAATTACGATGCACGAGCAGAGTGGAGCTTCAATTAAGAAACAGCACCGCTGAGTGCAGATAGTATAGAAGCACATATGTGTGCATATATATTTAATTCTGCGGTAAATCATGCATTTAAACGTGTGCTTGGTGTGAAATGTTTCACCACCAGTGAACCTACACGAGTCTTCTGAGTTTATATGGAATGTTGATGATGGAAAATAGTGGAAAATCTGAAATAATCAGTTTTCTTTGGGGACTATTTTGCCTCACAGCGCCCTGCATGTATCCCTCCACCATGAATGGAGTTTAAGTTCTCTAAACTATCATAAAACAGTGTCTCAGTCATCAGGCAGTGAATTCATAACCATTTCATGTAGGAACTTTCTGTGAGGGAGCTTTTAGAGGTGGACGCCTGGTTCCTATGACCTTCACCTTAAATGGTGCAGCAGTTACATTCCATTTAAGGTGGGATGGAAAATTTGAGTAAGAAGGTGGCAAATAGGGAATCTGACTTCACTGTTATTGAGGAGGCAGACGCATGATAATATAGTCCTGATGCTAATTGGTGTACATAAGCTTCCATTGCTCATTAGTTACATTAGCCTCCTAGCTCCAGTGCTAAAACTAAAGACGCACCAAACGTCTTTTGGCTGATTGACCACATTTGGAGTAAAGTGGGAATTTGGAGTTTTGTTTGAACTGTCACTTTAAAGCTGTGATGTTCTTGAGTTCGAGGAGTGTTTATGCTGATTATTCATCTCTTTTTCTCCTGCAGCGCAGCCCGTCTCCTCAAAGCTTCACGATGGTTGGTGGGCTTACAAAGACGCAGTGCAGGGAACCTTTATTCCAGGTGAGAGAGAGAGAGAGAGAGAGAGAGAGAGAGAGGGAGAGAGAGAGGGAGAGAGAGAGAGAGGTGGTGAATTGTGAAATCTGTGAGTAAATCAGAGGTTTTTGAGGTTTTGTCACTCATAATTCATCATTGTTTATAATTCATGCTCCTCCGTCCTGCCACTCTCAGACTGGATGAATATTTCAGCTGAAATGTATCTGCACACACGTCTCACATGCGTTTCTCTCCAAAAGCTTCTGATGATTATTTCACAGGAGCTCATAAAGAGCTTCATGTTTATTTGATGAAATTAATCCACACAGTCAGCCATTAGCATAGTTACATAAGCGCTGCAGAGAGGTAATGAGTCTGGAGCCTTCCAGGGTGGAGTTTTGGTTTCAGAAGTGGAGCAGGGGGGGACCGGGGGCCAATGAGGTTGGAGCCCACCATCACCCCAAACCCCAACATCACACACAGATACGAAAACAACATGACAACATTACGTTCATTAGTGACATTCTGTACTGTTTCCAATCCACATATTTCATCTCCACTTATTATTGTTGTTATTGTTATTGTGGACGTGATTCTGTACATGCAGAACAGCAGTTATTCTCACAGAGGATGTTCGCTAACTTTAGCTACAAGAGCTAACCAGTCTAGTTTTGAATGACTAACATTAATGCTAACGCCAGCTAACATTAGCTTAGCAAGTCACTCTATTTTACTGTTTATCTGACGATGCAGAGCTAAAAATCTGCCCCTTCACTGAAGCTGCTGACAGAACAGATCATCTCATCACATCATTTACGCTTCCTTTCTTCTTTTCCTGATCCACCAAACTCAGTTCTTTACCTCCTCATTTCAGCCGTAACAGTGATTAGCCCGCGATGGTTCGCATCGTTATTCTCACTTTGACTATGGAAATATGTGTAGTGTAACCATGGAAACGGATGCAGTGTAACTCTAATAAAAGATGGTTCTTCAAGGGTTCTTTAGTAAAAATGGTTCTATGTAGAACCAAGAACACTCAAAGTACTCTTGCTGGAAAATCTGTTTTTTCTGGTTCTGTATAGAAGCTTTTTGAAAAGCGTTCTATATAGCACCAAAAAGGGTTCTATTATTGTTGTGATATCAAACTTGTAACAATACAGGAATCCTTTTTGGTGCTTTATAGAAACATATACAGCACATTCTCCATTAATCTGAAGAACATTTTACCCTGTGAAGGGTTCATCGAGTGTTTGTGTTCTACATAGAACCATTTTTTTTACTAACCCCTAAAGCCTGAAGAACCATTCTGAGAGTGTACAGACATGGAAATAAGTGTAGGATGTGGTGTAACTATAGAAATAGATCTGGTGTAACCATGGAAATAAGTATGGTGTAACCATGGAAACAGGTGTGGTGTAGCCATGGAAATAAGTGTGGTGTAACAATGGAAATAGATGTGGTGTAACCATGGAAATAGATGTGGTGCAACTACAGGAATGGGCTTTTTAAAACCATGGAGATGGATGTTGTGTAAGTCTAGAAGTGGATGTGGAATAAGCAGGAAAACAGGTGTAGTACGGCCATGGAAATGTGTGTAGTGTAACCATGGAAACAGGACTATCCCATTGATCCATATTTCAGCAGTGTATTTCAGATGTTTATCAGTCAGTCCATGTTACAGCTTTATTTCTGTGGTCAGGGCTGAGAGAGCTGAGCAGTCAGAGTGGACCTGCAGTACTAACAACACTGACTGTAGATCAGTCACATATATATATATATATATATATATGTGTGTGTGTGTGTGTGTGTGTGTGTGTGTGTGTGTGTGTGTTTATTGTTGGGAAGCTGTGTTAGTGATTAAAGTTTTCATTTGATTTGTCGGTGTGGAATCAGAGGAGAGGAACACCGGAGGAGCTGAAGAACCAGAGAGTGGAGATTTATCCTCATCAGCTCCAGATTCACACACACACACACACACACACACACACACACACACACACACACACACACAGACACACACACACACACACACACACACACACACACACACACAGATCAGTGTGTAATCAATCACCTCAACACACTCACAGATCACACAGTTGAACTCCAAACATGAATCCAGCTGAACGGAGTGATGTGATGATCTGTTATCGTTATGATGATGGATTTCATGATTCCCTTTCCTGATTAGATGATATATGACGAGTACGATCAGTACGTCTAGATCTGGTTCTCACACTCGTCCTCAGGGTCCTGCAGACAGACCACATTTTGCTCTATCTTGCGTGTCTAACTTGTGTGTTGTGAGCTGGGTTGGAACATGTGGACCCTCCGGGGGTCCCTGAGCCTCAGATCTCATGTAAAACATATTGTGACGTTTGTTACAAGCTCCTCATTTCAAAAGGGGCTTTTGGGGGGCTGGTCTGCAAAGCTCACCTCTCCCCCTCTCTGACCCCCCCCAAATCAAACCGCCCCTCCCCGCTGAAAGAGATGTTTGCTGTTGTTTTGGTTGTGTTTGTCTTTTCCGTTGTTAGGTTGAGATGTGTGTATGCGCTGGTTGTGTTGTTTGTGGTGGGCTGTAGTGAGATGGGGGGTTAGTGTATCTACCTTCAGGAGAAAACGTGTGGCTAGAGGTGACCGGCCTGCTCCCAAGGTGTGTTTACATGTACTTTTGAGCACTTCTCATGGCAGAAATGTGGCCTGTCTCATGTCTCCTTCTACACTGGTGCCACAGTGGTGTCAGAAGTGGGATAATCCTGCCAAGCGGTGAGGAGTGAAAGGGTCCTTTAAGAAACTTACAGACAAATGGCAAAGAAATAATGAAAATAAGAAATAATGGCCTCACCTGCATCTACTTCTACACCAATGCTGCAATATTCTACAAACATTATTGGCTCTACTTCAACAAGCTGGTACCAAACCAGTATCTTTGGTAATTATTTATATGGCAGTGAGTCGTTGTAAAGTCCCAATGGTGATGTGTCTGTAAACTCGATGCTCAGGAATCTCCTCCGAATCCAATTAGCAGAACATTTCTAATCGCTTTTATTCTGAATTGGATTTGTGGGTAAATCTGGCTGTGAATGAGGGAGACGGAATGAGTCAGAACTGAGAATTAAAATGAACATTTCTGCGTTATCATCAGTGTTTGCTTCAGTTCTGTAATGGGATTTACGCAGCGTTTAATAGGACACTAAATTTATATTCAGCTCAGACATTAATTACACACTTATATCTGTTATATGTGTGTTATATACTGTGCAAATGTCAGAGACCCCCCCCCATTTATTTACCCAGTCAAAGCAGCAGTGAAGTTATTGATTTTTCAGTGTCAGGAGAAAAATTAGAAACATATTTAACATAAAATTACTCAACAATCAGATGTTTCAGAGTTTAGTGTGTTCACTCTTTACCTTCATCTGTTTATTATCAGAATAAAATCATATTTGCATGTTTAACATTCACATTTGTACTGTTTAAACTGAAGAGTGTCAAAATTATTTCATATAAAAATCATTTTGTGAAGTTGCTGCTGTTTTTGTTTTGCAACATGATCAAAAAATCCCTAAAACAAAAATTCAGAAAGAACAATTATTGTATTATTGTATTGATTTTGTTGATTAATTTATGGAAAGATTGAAGAATCTTTTTTTCTGTCCTTTATTCTCATTTCATTTTAATGGCTATAACAGACTGAATTACTCAGATCTCCAAGTCAGAGACCCCCTTCATTTATTTAAGGCAAGGTTATTGATTTTTCAGTAAACAGAAAACAGAAAATACCCAGAATCCTCAACAGCTAACTCTTTCCCTTTATTCCAGCTTCCATTCTTTTCAGGACACTCACTTTCAGTTCCTCAAAGAATCTGCAGACACACCTCCAAAGTTCAGTCTGAGAAGCTGGTTGATCATTTTCTGAAGTAATCAAACACATTCAGTGGTGTTGAGGTCTGGACTCTGGGGTGGTCAGTCCATCGTTCAGCTTCTTTGTTTGATGTGTCCGTCTCCTTTTGTCAGTGAGGTTCTTCTTGATCAGCTACACATCCTTTCAGACCCACAGCGCTGAGTCGTCTTCTCACAGTGGAAGGATGGACAGAAACACCTGTGGATGTTTTCAGATCTGAAGCAGCTTGATTTTCTCCTCTCTCTCAGAGATGAAAGCTTTAAGTGCTGTTTATCTGATAGGGGCAGTTTTGGGGTCGACCAGCTCTTCCAGGTGGTTATTAGGAGCCACATTTTATAGCTCTGTGGCTTTTAACCAGTTTTTTCACTTTGATGTTTCTCCTTCATTATGTATGTTAATTATCTGATATCTGATCTCTTGAAAAATCAATAACTTGAACTTTATGGCTGTTTAGAGTGGAAATTAAATAAATGACACTGTCATAAACATCGTTTAATTAAAATGGTGATGCTGCTAAAACTGACTGGAAGCAAATCCAGTCGCCGGTTTTCAGACCCTAACGCTTTAACATTTCTAACAGCTGACTGAAAACAGCTTAGAGTACAGCCCACATCCACAGTCAGTGATGTATCTAGAACCTACAGAAGACTCATTTCTCACCACACTGTAAAACAAAACGGGATTGATTGAATCTTTCCTAATTATGTAGGTAGTTTATCTAAAGTGTAAAGCCTTCAGTCCAGCTCCTGAAATCCTACACTAGGAGTCGCAAGCCAAATGTTAAGAAGAGTCATTTTGTCCCTTCTACAAAAATCAAACTACTTTGGGAGCCACATTTTATCCTTACAGCCATTTTACCATCTTGGCTGTAAATCTGTCTCAGAATGTGCTGATGTGCTAGTGTAGACTAAAAATTACTTACTTTAAGACTTACTTTAAGCTTTAGCTCAGCTATAACTGCTTTCCTCACATCTCCAGCAGGAGACTTTTCCTCTAAAGTAGAAGAGTTTCTTGTAAAATATCTTTCAGCGCTTGACTTTTTACGAGGCTGATGCTTCTCATTCACCAGCTTATAGCTCGACATTTTGTGTTCCACTTTAAATGGCACTAGTATGTAACTGCTGTACCTTTTAACACGAAGAATGAGAAACAACTTCAGCTTCACGGCTCTTTAATGTTTGTCAGTTTGTTGTTGCAGATTAAATGAATCAGGAAACCAGCTGAAGTGATTAGAAACACTAATCAGTCCATTCATCTCCAAATTATCAATGTTCATCTTAAATCTCTCTCTTTGCTGTTTCGTTAGCTACTAGCTAGGCGAGACTGTTGTCTGTGTTGCTATGGTGACCAGCAGTCTGTGCTGATCTTCAGGGTTAAAGGGTGAATCAGCAGTTCTACATTAACTCCAGAGTTTAAGACCATTTATTGTTAAACTGTGTTGAACGATCAGCAGAGCTTTATTTTACTGTAAAGGAGGATTATTTTATTTTTACCTACAAATCTGATTCAGCTGTGGAGCCACAACAGGGCAATAAAGAGCCGCATGTTGCTGACCGCTGTCCTGACCAATGGGAGAGCTCACTACTGTTCTAAAAACATAGTATTGTATTTTTTAGTTCCCTGAAATCGTCGAACCTTCTCTGAAGATCTGGAAGATCCTGAGGGCTCCACACTGACGTCAACAACATGGCTGTGAATAAAAGTGTGACCTCAGGTGAAAACTGTGGATACTGTTTTTGTGGGTTGTTTGTCTGGAATCGTGTGCTGAAGCCCTGAAGCCTTCGAGAGTTTTTCACTTTTCTTCACTCGTCTGTTCCAGTTCTGCCATTCTGCAGCGCTAACCCTGCTCAGTTACACGCTGACAGCAGCTCAGAGCACAGCAGACAATAAACCCGCTCAGCTGAGTTTACAGGGCAAAGAAGAGTTTCAAATAGAGGACAATGGGTGACGTCAGCGTTTTGCTGAAAGCAAGTTTTAGAAAAATAAAGAGAAAGTCAGAGAACGCAGTGCTGTATAAGACCCAGACACCTCACTGTCATACGAACAGTGTTCCTTCAGAACATCCTGTCTTCTGTTCGGGTCTTCAGGCTTCTGAACGGCTGGTTCTTCTCATCATCTCCATCATGTTGCTTTTTACTCTTTTACCTTCAACCGTTCTGAGCAGAGCAGTTTTTCCAGTGAACTGCTTCTTTTCATTAAATGTCTAAAATTAGACCGTCACGTTGGTTATTTCAGCTGCAATTGGCCAAAAACCCATTTGTCTGTTTTCTTGTCATCCAAGGTTCCTTCTGATGACTTCCCCAACATCAAAGTTCAAAGGTCTGAATATTTTTTACTGTCCTGATTTTTAATTGTCCAGATTTCACAACCATAAAGAACCACAAAGGAGACCACAGTCTGGACCATCTTGATCTTTGCTTGAAGAGACACATTAAGTTGGCCTGACAAAGCAACCAGCAGGAATTACTTAGCAACATCCTAGCAACCACCTGGAATAACATATGAATCTACCTGAATCAGTATAATAAGCAGTTCTTCCAGTATTGATTACTCTGTAGACCCAATTAAACTGTTTAACTGCTTAAACTTTTCAATAATATTGGTCGACGCAAAGATCTTTTCAAGCACTTTCATTCTTGTTGTGACGACCAGCGATCTGTGTCGTATTTCTCCTTTATTGTTGGGGACAGTAAAGTGGCCCTATTATGCTCATTTTCAGTGTTCATTATTGTATTTTTTGCTCTACTGTAACAGATTTACAGCTTCAATGTTCAAAAACATATTATTTTCCTCAGACTGTTCATCTCTATTCACCCTCTGTCTGAAACGCTCTTTTAGACAGGAGTGTCTCAGTGGTCCTGATGAGCCCAGTGTGCTCTGATTGGTCAGCTCTCCCACTCTGTTCTGATCGGTCAGCCTCCAGGGCGGTTCTGCCCTCCAGGTTCCACCCCTGTCCTGCAGTCTTCACACAGACCCTTCTCTCTTCAGCAGCTGTAACTCCGCAGTGGCTGGTTCTTCAGTGGTGTCGGTTCTGCCAGATCAGTTTGATCCAGAGTGGATCCTGAAAGTCCGGTCAGCATCTCTCCACACACTACAGCACTGAACACACTCTTCCTCCTCCAGTAGCCGCTGTGCGCTGTGTGAGGAGGCCGAGCTCACCGGTAGGCGGGCAGTAAGGACTGTGTTATGAGATGATGTCATCTACAGAACACTAAAGGAAAGAGAAAAACAGGAAAAGCGTAACAGGTCTCCTGTAATAACTGATCCAAGTAGACAAAAACTGCTCAGGGTGTTTCTCGTTGTCATAATTTTTGATTTCATCAATTCCCACCTTTTCACTCTGCCCTTTTACGGCCCTTCTGATCTCCCTGATTTCCCACCATGTGCGTCGTGTCAGTGCTCCATAAACATTGTCCAACACTCTGAATGGAATGATTCAGAATTGAAATGGAAATGTATGTGTTGAGCTGAGCGATTGTTTCTGAACAAAAGCAGGATTACCGTGTGGTTAGAGCACTATTTTGGGAAACACACGCGTTTATGTAGGTCACT